AATTTGGATTTAAGTAGTTACGGATGACTTCAATTGATTTTCCGAAGGAGTACAAAGAATGTCAGTTTTTGAAATGCATAACAATGAAAAATTATGACTAGACTTGTTTGTTCTTAAAAAAGAAAATAACATAAGAGTGACTAATCTCCTTTTAACTTTTTATCAATAGGCTTTCTGAAGTGAAACAAACCCATCTAATTATAATCTAATACTATTACGTCTTTTTTTTCCGAATTCATTGATTTAATATGTACTAATCAGAGATTATGAAGAATATTATATTTCATGACATAAATATTGAAACATTGATTCAGTTCTTGCTTAGTTTAAAACACAATGTGATACATCCTAAGGATTTATAAATATGGTGGTGAGTTATTACTCTTTCATGTCTACATCTACCTTTTCTAACCATTCACAATCAATTAGAGTGAGCAGGTTAGCTTAGAGCACTAGTTCTAGCATACAATTATTCTTTGAAAATATTAAAAATCATTGTCAGATGCCCTTGGTTATAATTATTTTGAGACTTATTTAAAGTATTAGAAGTTGTTGAGATGGATTAATGATTACAAGGATAATTTTCTGATTCGAAAGTGAAAAAAAACTGTCTGTCCTTTAGTACACACGGATCAGTGTCATTTAATCAAACTTTGAAAATTAAAGAACTGAAGATTGCCTTCTTCTTCTTCTGTTTTAGAACTTTTCAGCTAAATACTGCATGACACTAAAAGGAATGATGTTGGAAACCGTCAGCATATTAGGCAAGTACAATATCATTTAGATCCAGAAATGGGTTTCTATCAGTTCGGAATATAGTGTCATGAACGTCCTAAACCGAAATTTGGATAGCCTTCTCAAAGTTCTGGTTAGAAATCATGACTGATGAAGCACCAATTTTAACTTAAGAACATAATATCATTGAACATACTAAATGGTCGTAGGGCAATTTTACTAAATTAGTAATAACAGAATCTAAGAATCACTGAATTGTAATCCAGTGGTTGGGTAGTGACCTATTCTTTTCGTCTTTTAATGATCTCAAAACTTGACTTTTTGTCTGGTTGTAGGAGTGCATTTTGGAAAGCGTATTAACGAGAGCATATATACTTGCTCAAAATTGTAATATCAGCCTCTAGCTTATTAGACAGCACTTGATTGATGTTGCAAAGTTGTACTGAGGAGTCATGTCCAGTGGGTTCTACCAGATCAATGTAGTATGGCTGCGCGTCGACCTAACTGGTATATGATAGCGCTAAATCGTGAACTGACGAGGTCAGAGTTCATGGTTCATCAAATTGCGGCAAACTGAAGGTCCTCACTTAGACCTCCAGTGGGTTATTAGGTGTGTACCCGTTAAAAGTCTCAAACTAAGATGAAACAGTTGTCCAGTACCCCTTGGTTTCCAGTGACTGTCTAACTGACGCGGATTCATGACGGAATCTACACCGAAATGTAACTAGTTGTTTCAGAATGAGTAAAATATATTATGAACTTATTTTCATTACATACATACTGGTATTGTGTATTTTTAGTAGAATATGACAAACACATTATACTAGTTACTAAGTTGTGTCCAGTTAAAGTACCTAACACAAGCCTACAGTAAGTCAATAGCGAGCCCAAACAACTCAGTGGTAACGCTTCTTATTGCAGCATCGAGTGATCCAAGTTCGAATCTTAGAAGGGACAAGAGTTCCTTCATGGTTGCAAATACGCCTTACTGACGTATCTCAAGTAGCACGAAACCTAGGCCAGGTATGGCTTCCTGGCGATCGCCTCCAACCCTCTAATATCATCATTTCAAAGTACACCGTGATGGCGAGCCACATAGAATACTGGCCACACTACAAACTTGAATGAAAGAATTCAGTCCGCACCAAACAAGGGACTAGATACCTTACACTAGTTGCTAACTCTTGTCCAATCAAAGTAAACGTATACCAACATCAGTTTGTAGTGGCTTATATTCTCTTAAGAATAATTAAGAAAATCCAGAAATTGACATTATTATAATGTAAATAAATAACGCAGAAAAAATTCATTTAAGAAAAAAAAATGTAATTTTCAACATTATACAAATGCTTAGTATGGGATTTGTCGATAACCACAAAGTATACTAGACATTAGGTATATTGTTAATTTACTTTGGCATAATCTTAAATGGTTGGAGGCGTATTAGCAAAATGCGCATACTTTAGTAGCACATATGCTAACCGACTTTTAATTAATCCAACACCCTATATATATATTCATTTCATAATGTATGAGAATTAAATTCAGGAGGGACTTGGAAGTCGAAGATACACTTTATCACTCTGTGTAAAAGAATAGAAATTGAAAGACATTAAAATATACACAATAATATCACTGTTTTGTTGAAACTGATGAAAAAATCAAAGTAATGCTTGAGATATGGAGAAAGATAAAAAACCACAAACTGGCAAAAGTTAGCGAACCAATGAAAAATAGTGGGCAGTGTTACCAGTTTGTAAAATTGATCTGATGATCACCACTGTGAATGACTACGGGATAAAGTTACCTGGAGTTCTTTCTAATGAAAGGTAGTGACTAATCAAGTCCATCAGGTTGAGTAGGATGACAGATATCATGAATCGGTATAAGTTAGAATTCATATACCAACCACTGTATTCTGTCCCTGTGAATGGGCTCATCTTGTAACCTGAAAGTGGTGTGTTCTATCTCTGATGGGGTGACGGGTGGGTTCTGCTAAAAAAGCCAGAACTAGAACGAAACGGTTGCCCGGTTCTACTTGCTTTTCAGTGACTCTCTAAATGAATTAAGTTCATGATCTACCTTGAAATCAATCAAATTTCCGGTAAATAAATACTTGAAAGATAAAAAAATGTGAATATACTCTGCTGTAACAGTCAGTCGTTTAGATAAATCATCTCATGATATTTGTTTTCCGTATGTCTTATTTAAATACTCTATTGTGTTTAAACGTTAGCTACGCCACTTCGAGTCTGCAATCAGTAATACCGTACTTCTATCCACTTCATTTTTAGTATGATGTAACTTTTAATTATATAAAATCTTGACCTAATTTAATTATTTCGGCATCTGCGTCAACTATTTCTACTGTAATTATCATTGACGTAACTATCATTCTTTTTACTATGTTTATAATCTTTGTTGTTACTGCAATTTCTACAGCCCTTAACTTATGTATATTATCCAGAATTTCATCATCATTGGTTAAGAATTGTTATGCATACAAAGTTATGTACATTCGAGCATAGCCTGACAAAGAGCTAATTGAAAACAATATTGCTCGCTTGAATGTCTTGTTTTAACTAAACGGAAAGTTTACACATTCATAAAAAGCTCTAATGACGAATTTATACTCGAAGTGGGAAACTTCTACTTTGAGGTATGCATAGAAAATTTTAATAGTTATTTTGTTCAAGGTTGTGCGGTAGCACTGGTGAAGATTCGTTGTTTTTAACTCATTTGTGAGCTTGAACTCGTATTCATCAGGAATTCCCTTCTATTTTAATAATAATAATTTTTCCTTCACGTTCCCCAGTGGAACATAGGGCTCCAAGCTAGAGGCTTGGAGTTTCTGTAACAGTGTTTAGTTTTTACAGGATGGAGTTGCTAGCCCCATGCCCAACCTTTCCTCTTTAACAGAATTATTTCTGGCTTAGCGAGGTAAACGAGTGAGTCGGTCGGGGATCGAACCCCGGACCATGTGTATGGTCGGCGAGCGTCCTAACCGCTGTGCCACCGACGACCCTTCTATTTTAACACTGCCTAAAATAACCATTGCTACACTTTACTAGTGTCTTAATGTGTCTGCTTAATAATATTTTGGCAGAACTAAGGAAGGTATAAAGTGGCGGAGACTATATCATTTTATTAAGTTCATTTTAGGATCAACAAACTTAAGACGATTTGTTTTTAGATTGATTTTACATTTCCTGTTGATCGATTATGTTGGATTGAAGGGCTTAGTTTCTATTGACATATCGGTTGGTAGTACGAACGATTACACGAAGATACCCAAGAATTAACGTGAAGTTATTTTTCCTGATGGTGACTAGCAGGATGCACATTTCGTCCTGTTTCAAACTCATCATCTGTATGCATCTGCTGACAGTGTTCTCACTGAGAGTGGAAATGCAAAGTTAGTCTAAAAATGAATAATGACTAATATCCTGTGTACAAGAAGTGGCTATCATGGCCCCAAAGTGGTCTGGTGGATAATTCTTTGACATTTGAATTGACGGGTGTTGGGTTCAAGTCTCAGATGATGAGTGCAAAATAGGATGAAATGCTGATCCTTGACTCGAGTAAATATCTAGTTTAATTCAAGTCATTATATCTAACTAGGTATAGTATTCGCATAAATAAATTAAAGAATGATTCCTTTTACATCCTTCATTATTCCCTGAAATGCTTTTCGGTGAAACGTCTTAAAGTTTCTCGTAAATAGACATAAATGAATGTGAATAACACTGCTAGTACTTTATTGAAACATAAATATAATCAAATGGTAAAATTTACATTCCAAGTCTAAAAGCACTATTACGTAACAATCATAGCCGTATCATAATCAGAATTCTTCATTTGTGAATGCCACCTACGCAGAAATCATTTTGGGGTATAAGCATATCACAGTTCAACATTCGTTAGAAATTTATGTATTTAGATAAAAGTCTTCTGTCGGGTAGAACTTGACCTTGAATATATATAAACAAAGTAGCAAATTTCAACAGGTTTCTCTTTCTCTATATGTATATTTTTTTTCTGCTGAGTCAAATAGGAGTAATATGTTCATTAGAACTATGCTCTAACATTCATAGTCATTACTGAAATGATGAATTTACTGACTAATTCATTGAGGGTAGTTTTATTAAAAAACAACTATAGTTTTTCTTAAAGGAAGGAACGTGCTTTGGTACTGACTGATTGATTTTCAACGGTAGAAATGACAAATTATTATTATTACAAATTAAACTGAAAACTTTACTAACCTAAAAGACGTCGTGCATCACGTTTTGATTCGTTACGTGCAACTTTTTCTGTATATATTTGATAAAGTGGAGCATCTTGAATAATTGACTTATACTTTTGACGTTCTTCATATGTTTTAAAACAATCCTGTAAGTGTAAGAAATAAAAAAGGAATAAATTTGATTGGTTTAATTATTATGATTGTAAGGTAGATACTTCTTTAGATATGACAGTGTTCTCTATCCAGCTCAGAGAACACAACCACATCAAGATACTTCTTTTTTTACCGAACTATAAATGTCTAACTAAATTTGAGTTCAGAAATTCTCATTTAAATGTTCTAGTCAGTTTATGATGTAATGAAAACAAAACCATTAAGTAATTCCATAATGGTTTCTCTATCACTTCCACCTTATATACCCTTACATGCTATATGTTTCTGTAAGGACAATAATCAAAACTCACCATAAAATATTTTTTTTTGAAGAAGATGAAAATGGGAATATAAATCTCCTAAATAGTTCATGAATTCAGTGTCTATGAATATAATAGCCGTTGACAATTGACCTTTGAATTGGTATTATGTTGGCGGCCTGCTTAAAACCTGGGCTACCGAAAACCTCCATCTTATTCGGTTAGTTTAAATCTAGTAAAATGTGACCTCTAGCATTATTGTTCTCTCTGGTGAGCATTTAAAACATTTACAACTTGGCGACTTGCAAGTTTCTACTAAACATGTGAAAAAGTATTACTCTCGATGGCATCTTATCCCAATATACGAAGTGGTCATTCCTGACTGGTGTCGTTAGTTCGCAAAGCGTACTCCTGAACTTTATATATTTGGTATTCAACAAAATGTCGTGTATTTTTCTAAGGAGTAAAAGAAGAGGTATCATAATGATGGAGTGGTTTGCGCTTCAGCTCAGATAAAACTATGTTACATGATCTACTGTCAGTTGACCTTTTATTTGAATATCCTGGACGAAGAGAAAATATCATGCAGTATACTGTGCTGAAAATTCTGTACATTATATTGAAGATTGTTCAGGACAAGGCTATTATTATTATTATTCAGACTACATTCTTTTGTACGCAATAGCACAAAGTTTCAAATTAACTTTTCTAAGAAACAAGGAGTAACCATTGTGAAAAAACTTCGAAAACAAAAACTTAAATATGAAAAAGAGAAGAGGTTCAGCGAAGAGACTGTTTTCGGAGAATTCATTCACACACATTCACCAAAGAAGATGAACTGGACAATCTCAAGAAAATCCTCGTCGAGAATTGTTATCCAGAAAGATTTATTGCAAAATCTATGAATCCTAGACCACAAAAGCCGCCTGTGCTCAGCGTCCCGAAAAAAAATACTATACATGAACCTTCAATTCAGTGAAGATATATCCGCGGAAATACTAAAAAATCGTCTGTCGCGCTCACTTAAGAAGACCTTCTTCGCAGCTGAACTACGACTAACCTTCTCCACAAAACCTATGATTCATGTGAACGTGAAGGATAAGCTACCACTGCTGGCCTCATCAATGTGTATTTATCAATTCACCTGCTCGTCAGGAGCCAGGTGTGTTGGCGTTCGCTTTCCAAACGTATCACCGAACATCTACCAACATGGTTTTACAAAGGGGAAAATCGATGCCCCCGCAGCTCCATCTTAGAACATCTGATAGAATCCGGACACCAAGCTACACCGCGAAAAAACGTCAAAGTCGTCTACAGAGTAAAAAGTAGTCTTCCTAAAGACGTACGAATCAGACTTCTTCAAACTGCAGAAGCAATAGCGATTCACTTGCTAATCCCTGAACTCTGCATACAGAAGAAGTTCGTTCAATAACTACACTTGCAGTAGACATAAACTATCTTATTACCTGGCAAGTAAATTCTACCTAATCTTTTTTTGTCTGAGTCTTCATTAGTATTATTTTGTCTTCTCAATTGTAATATTTTGCATTGTCAACTTTTTTGTTCTCTACCTCCACCCGATTTAATTTCTACACCTCACTCCCACTGTTACTGACTTGATCACAGCTCAATTTCTAGTCATTTATGTTACATCATCCAACATATTTGGTCGATTTCAGTTCTAATTTAAATAGGATAACAGGATTTTCATCATGATCTGACACTAGTTGGAGAACCATTGGAAAACTACGTGGGAGTACTGGACAGCTGTTTCGTTATATTTTGGGACTCTTCAGCAGTACTCACCCACCGGGATTCGAACCCAGGACCTTCTAGTTACAAGGCGAGCTCGTATACCACTAAGCCACGGGGACCCGATCCAATGGCTAGTCAATGAATTCTAACTTCTGCCAATTCACGACATAGCGCGATCCCAGCCAATGTCTTCGGCGATTATTTGTCGTCGCACCCGACCTGCTGCACCCTACTTATCACGACTTCTCACTAGAATCACAGGTAACTACCTACCTGAATAGGGCAGGTCGCTAGTGAGCATCTTGTCGATATTCAAGTGTTGGTTTGTAGGGATTTGATTGGTGGTCACGCTATGTCGTGAATTGGCAGAAGTTAGAATTCATTGACTAGCCATTGGATCGGGTCCCCGTGGCTTAGTGGTATACGAGCTCGCCTTGTAACCAGAAGGTTCTGGGTTCGAATCCCGATTGATGAATACTGATGAAGAGTCCCAAAATATGACAAAACAGCTGTCCAGTACTCCCACGTAGTTTTCCAATGGTTCTCTAACTAGTGTCAGATCATGATGAAAATCCTGTAACCAATCAAATCCCTACAAACCAACACTTAAATGGGATTATTCTCTACCCCACTTCTACTTAGTCCCTACCTGTAACTACCTCTGTTGCTACCCTGACCTAAGTTAAAACATTTTAGTCACTTATATTACGTTATCCAACTTACTTACTCACTCTTACTTTAGTTGCTGTCTGAATAACCTTGTTTCTATATTAGATCATTTTTTATTACCTGATCAATTATTCAAACTTGACAAATAATTATATATAAGTGGGATTGTACAGCTATGTGAATGAATTCGCCGAAAAGGAGTCTCTCCGCTGAACGTCTTCTCTTTTTCATATAACTCAATGGGGATTTTCAAGCTACAAAAACTGAAATGTTCATCCACTGTTCTTCTTTTCTAAATTGTTTTGGAAAAAGAGAACCATATTTTATAGTTCTCGAAATAATCGGTTTTTATAGGCAATTTTAGTTTTATTGTGTAAATTAAATGCATACGCATAAATGCGCAGTAAGTGTAGATCATATATCAAAAAAAAGTAATTGTGAGTAAACTGAAAAGAAAAACACACTGTAATATGATGCTTATTTTATATTATCAGTAATGAATGTTTATGTTTAGTTTTAATTCACTTGTTAAGACTAACTGATCATTGTGTTAAAGTGAATTTAACCTTCGAAGATTGTTTGGAAGCTAAAAATATGGAGGGGAAAACCACTTCTTTTTCAATCAATTCCTAACGTATAACGTTCTACTAATAAGCAGAACATTTTAAAACGCAAATTATTTACCAGTATTCTGCCTACATAATAGCTGATTATCATTCCTTTGGATACTGAGTGAGACCTAGGGCTTCGACAGCATATCTCCATTTCAATGTAGAAAATGTCCCTATTTAGACATCTAGAAAACAGAAGGATTGAGCGAAGCAATATTTGCCTTTCAATTGGGTCCTACAAAAGGTGCATAAAATTGGTTTGCCGCTTCGACCAGTGTAGGACATGTGTAATTTCTTATATCATACAGAAGCAAAATGGCTAGTGAGCCTCCTGAAACCTCTACATAATGAACTGGTGAAACGTAGCGCAGACGGTAGTTTTGAATTTGTCAAAAAAATAGGAGATCTTAATTTGAGTGACAAGTTTGTGATATCTTTTGATGTATCTTCCATGTTCACCAATGTACCGTCAATGGAGACAGTGGATTTTAAATGTGATGAGATCACTACGCGAAACATTGACATCAGTAATTTTGTGTTCTCCTTGAAGGAACTTATTTTGAAGATGTACAATGAATGTTCAATTCTTATTCAATAGGGAATATTACAGACAAACTGATGGTGTAGCTATGGGTTCCCCATTAGGTTCAATTCTAGCTGATTGTTTCCTCACTAAGTTATAGAATGGACCACTGAAAGGAGTAATTAATGACTTGGATTTCTACTGTCGATATTTAGATGACATATTTCTGGTTATGAAAAAGGAGAATGATGCAATGAACATCTTTGACAAATTTAATGATACCTATTCAGCATTAAACTTTACCATAGAGAAAAAATGACAGTATCCCATTCCTAGACGTCTTCATGTCAAAGAAAGAAGATGGCACATTAAGAAGGATGTCAGTACACTCATTTTTTGAGTTTTGAACCTTTGAAATATAAACTTAACCTGGTAAGGTGTCGGGTTCATTGGACTAGGTTAATCTGTTCAGACGACTGCCTCAATGAGGAGCTTCAGATTAACAGAGAATTACTTACCCATCATCTGGTTTGATGATTAGGTCGTTTATTTTCAAGTCGAGCTTTACATGTTAAAATGTAGTTAACCATGCACAAGTGCAACCAGTGTGTGGATATATTTTTAATTATTACCACTATTCAGGTCATATCAACTGAAAATAAACGACGCTTTTACTTCATTTGATTTTTTAAATCTATGTCTGTTAACACATACACAAAGAAAGTGGTAATGAATTGCCAGTGTTAACTGAACCAGAAGTATGGCAAAAAATTGGCTAACACTCAAAGCATACATCTCTGAACTCCTATCGTATTGTTTAGAAATTTACTTAAAAGATAACAATAATCCAGTTTAAGTAAAATTTCTGGATAAATCAAAGAGATATTAAGTAATCGACTTCAGACATCAAATTATTAGAGGTTGATAAATCAAATAATTTTGAACTCTGTTCTATTCATCATTCTATTTATGGAGGGCTTTCATCTTGTATACAGGTATTTAAACTGGATTGTTTAGACAGAAAGTTTTGAGACACAAAGAAACGACCCATCTAGATATGAAAATAAGGGCAAACACTTCAGAGAAAAGACTATTCTGCGAATCCATTTACTTAGCTGCACAATCTCATTTGTATATATATATATATATATATCATTAACTTTGCGTGTATTATC